TTGTTACGGTTTTTTTTTTTTTTTTTTTGGAATTTATGTTTTTCTTTTTTTTTTTGTTTTTTTATACATTAATTTGTTCATTTTTTTTAATTTATGTTTTTGTTTTTTTTATTTTTATTGTTATATTGTATAACAAAGGAAATAAGGAAGCTCAAAGGAAACAAACTGTAGCGACTCTAATTTTTTCTTAAGTCATTATTTATTTTTTATTATTACTATTACTTTATTTTATTTTCTTGGCTTTATTAATTGCGTGGATACATGAGAATTTAATGTGGTATTTAATTAATTTAATGTGATATTTAATTATATATAATTAATCCGAATATTTCTATATTTTATATATGTATAAAAAGTGTTTTATATATTGATAAAATATATATTATATTTATGTATGTTGTATTTATGTTGTATTTGTATAATATAATATAATAGTTATTAGGTTATATAATTGTGATTAGGTTGTAATAGGGTTGTCATTAGGAAAAAGAAAAGAAAAAGAAAAAGAAAAAAAACAAAATCAAAACCAGAGAGCAGCAGCAGCGAGAGAGCGAGAGAGAGAGATGGCGGGAGAGAGAGGAGAGGAAAATAAAAGGGGTTACAGTTTTATTTTGGTGTTTCATTAATTCTCTAAGTATTTCTTTGATTTTCGAAAAATAATTGTGAATACAAAACTCACTTCCCTTAATTTATGTTTATTTCGTTGTTTTTATTTATTTATGTATTTTATTTATTTGATGTTGATTTGATATTGTATTGGCATAAAGATGATAGATTGATTTCAATTATTTTGGTTAGTTGTGTATGCAAGGTTTAGGATTTATATATATATATATATATATATATTTTATGGTTGTAATCACACCCATGGATATATGAAATTAAAATAAACTAGGAACCCATAGATAAATTCCGAATACTCCACCATGACTCCATGAATTGTTTTATTTGAGTGCTAGTGAGAAAAAGTGTGTAAAAAACAAGGAGAGGATTATGAGATTGATTTGAATGCCTTAGGTTCGGCATTGTTATGTTTGTTCTCACGAGTAGATGAGGGGTTATGTATATATATATTGTTGCCTCGTTCTCAAGAGTAAACGAGTGCTTTGATTTACATGCATACGTATATGCTAACCGTCTGGGGAGTGTGGGTCAAACTTGGGATGATATCCCCGTGCAAGTTTGGCTTCGGAGCGGTGTTAGGTATACAAGAGGCACATGGGATATATGTGTAGGCCAGAAGTAAAGGGCCGAAGTGGTGGAGTTAAGGTACAAAGAATTAAATATGAGTTTATTGGTATAGTTTAATTGTCTTGATTTGTACATCTGAAAAAATAGTAAATGACCTCGATAAATTACGAAATTTGGGTAGAAGCATGTATACATAATTCTAGACAACTTTTATATTTTAACTTTTTACTAAAAAGATCAATTATAACTTGTAATCAGATGATCTTGGTTACAATAGTTTGTATTCATTTTAGCAGTGCAGACTTTAGATGTTGTTTTAACCCACAAAAAGAGCTCATTTTCATTGATTTTGCACAAATTAAAGTAAAATATTATTTTGAACACTTTTTGTGTTTTGAAATTTTTCGAAACAAATCATCTTAAGGCAGTTTCTTTTCATTTTCAGTTTCAGATTTTTCGGTTGAATTCCATTTAGGTTCTTCTATCAAGTTTTTCTCTGAACTTGTTCAGTTTCTACTAAATTTGTTCATCATGTGTGTGTGTCAATTTCCAACCACACTGCTAAACAGGTACTCAGCTGGAGAACACTGACAGAATAGATTAAGTCCGAACGACCTGTCACAAAAAGAAGGGATTCTGGCGGTGGTTCGTCCACCCGGGGGCACTCCGATGATCAAGTCAATTATCTCTCAAAGATAGTAAAAGTGCTTAACTTACTATTCAGATTATAAAAACATACCTTAGACCCACAAGGGTGCCTCTCTTTTATAACCAACACTGACCTAATCCCAATAGAAACCTAACTTCAATGGACTTAGGATTACTGCTAATCTTGGACTCCCATTAGGATTGGGATAAACTCTCTAAGAGTCTTATCCTTTCCTAAACTGAAGTCCTCTCCCAATCTAGGACTCTTGTCTCTTATTTGCTTATCCCAGATTCCGGTATTCCCGCAGATAACCTCGGCCTAGCCGAGATTACCTCGGCATCATGTCCAAGACACATGGCACCTTGACTGACACTTCGGTGTCACATTGGCCACGTGTTGTCATCCAAAATTATGTCCCCACAACTGCCTCCTAGGTTCTATTACTTCGGCATCCTGAGGTGATGGAACCTATATCGTTTCTCCCATTTAGCATGACGGCTAGGCTTGCCTTGTCCTTCATTACCGAGGTCACAATTCATCGGCTCAATACGACCAAAACTTAGTCTGTTTTCATCAATGCTTCAGAACCAACACGCAAGTTTGTTCAAATTTCCCAACCGAGATCGTCCCTCAGGCCGAGGTCTTTGCTTCATTAAATCAAGAACTTGAAGAGTTTCAACATGCGTGTGAGCTATCACGTACAATATTTCAACCGTTTCTGCCACGCATCTTTCCTTACTGGATCGTACTTGACACGTGCCATTAAGTCGCCTTGCGTCTCTGTGGGCCGTCTGATCGCCCTACACACATTGATTGCAATTTTGCCGCCATTCCATGGTTTCGATCAAAATCCCTTCTCTCTCTCTCTCTCTATCTTTTCACTTTTGCATCCTCGTTCCCAAGCTCCCAGCTTTTCCTCTCTCTAACTTTCTCTTCCAAATCCGCCATTGCTACTCTCGTGAAGCTTTCTGCAACCACCCTCAATCTCCCATTTCGGTGAGGCTTTTGCTACACTTCTTTGCTCACTTTCTCCGTCCGATACCGGCGTATTTTACACCGGCCTCATTTTCTTCGGTAAGTCACTGTTCGTTCCTTCGTTTTAATTTCTTAGTTCACGTTTTGTTACCTTTTCTTATTAGTCACGTTCAAACATATTCACATGCTCACATTCCTGTTTGTGCTTCAAATTTCATCATTTGTATACTTAAAACATAATTTGTTTCACCTGTTTCTGGGTATACACATGTATCCACATACTTTGCTTATTTTGCCACTGTTCTTGGCCTTGCACCCTTGCACACACTCTATCACAATGTTCTTGATAGAGTGTCACCATTCTTGATTCTAAATCTTTGTTTTTTGTTTATTTTTTTTGTGTTTTCTCCAGATTCCTGACTTCAATTCTTGTCTCCATAGTCTTAGGTTTGGGATTTGTTGTAGAACCCACGAATTTTAGGAAAAACTTAAACAAACTTCACTTAGATCCTCAAAATTTCTTGCCCCATCATTTGTCTAGGTTTTGCCGAGGTCTCTCCAACCTTTACAAAACACACCCTTCTGAAATCCAACACCTTCCCCTAAGCCGACATCATGGGTATGTGGAGGCATAGGGTAGATACACCAACTAAGTTAGAATACTTTAGGTAGGAGTTTTCCATCCCAGCCGACGTTCACCTGAGGTTGGCTGGTGAAGATGACTCCATCATGCCTGATGGAAACCTCGTGCCTTTCCCTATTGTTGCCTTTACAGAATGTGGACTTAGGTTTCCACTAGACATCCTTTTCCGAGAAGTCCTCTATTACTACAAATTGAACCCAATACAGCTCGCCATCAACTCTTACTGAGTTATCAATGGTATAATAGCCTTAGCCAAAAAAGAGAACGCTAGGGTTACCCTTGCCGATATCCAGTATTGCTATATCATGTGTGGCCTTAAATTAGAAAAAGGCTACATCTACTACCTCAAACCGAGGTCCACAGAATACAAACTTGTTGCCGACCTCCCAGACTCCAACAAGGGAGCCGGGGACGATTACTTCATTGTCTCGGGCAACTGGGAGTTCGCTCCAGATGAAGACTTTCACCTCTACCCTTTTAGCTGAACAGTATTCGTAGAGGGTAATGGTAAGAACCAAGTGCTACACTCACTTATTTTTCAGGTCTTTAATACTTTATTCTTTCTGTATGTTCTAACATTTGTTTTTCTTGCAGCTCTTCCACGGCCGACAAAAGACTTCCGTAAGTCTTTTTGCCCTAGCAAGGACCTCAAGAAGCTGTTAGATTTGCCAGTTCAGAGGCAGAGAGCTCCCTTACTGCTTAACTTCATCCCGACTTACAAGTTGGTTCTTCCCAACATCCCGAAGAAGAAGAGCACGTCTCCTCCTTCCACCACAACTTCACCAGCAACTTCATCAACTCGGCCAGATCAAGGATCAACTTCTGATCTAGCTGAGCAGGTATCAACCTCGGCTCCATATCTGATTCTTCCATCTCAACGCAAACACCGACGCCGAACTACAATTACTATTGAGATGGGTCGCAAGAAAGCAGTTGCAGACGATCTTCTGGCCAACATCCCTGACACTGTCAACGCTCAACCATCACAATCCCAGCCTCAACCAAAGCCAAATTCCAAAAGACTGAAGAAGGCCCAGCCTAAGGCAACGGTGACTCAGATTGACAATGAGGATACCTTGCCCATTCTAAAATAGGCTGAGAGCGAGAAGACCCCCTTCGCTGCCGAGAAGAGGCCCGCTGTCACTCCCCCAAAATAATACAATAAAGATAACTCATATGCGGAATAAATATGAGAAATAACATACTTTCATACATCAGAGTCTACTGTTTAACAACCTGTTAAATGCCATGTCTTACATCTTTCCAAGTCATTGCTTGGTTACACAAATTAAGTCTCGCTCATTACATCTTAAGCCCTTGGCTTTACAAATGCCAACATGCACACAACAAAACATAATTAAGAAGGTCTTGCTTCCCGAAAGTCCATCCACGCTATTGCCTAGTACTCTGCCAAACGACAAGTGAAGTAGTACAATCCATTACTATATTACACTTATGAAATGGTAAAACCCATGGTTTGATCTTCAAATCCGAAAAGCATTCCCTATACACATGTACAAGCAGGGGGTCAGCAAAGCCCACTGAACAATCTCATATTAAAACATTAAAAGATATGCGGGGACAAAGATACTTATACATATACGTGAAATCATATCATGTCAAAACCATATGATTTTATTACATAATATCTTAATCCAAGGCCTGCATATTCATATGCCACTAAGACCAATCTTATTCCATTTTTCTTCAATTCATATCCAGTTCATATATGCTACTCAATTCATGAGATAAATTCATTATCTTTTAATAACCAAAATAAGACTACAACTCAATGGTTTTCCAATTATGCACAACACACATAAACACTTCAAACTTTTCCATTTTACAGATATTTCGTTCGAAGGAACCGGCACCCATTTATATATAGATTTTCAGGTCTTTCACCCAGGACACTCCAGCCAACTTGCTTTAAATGGAGTTTTTCCACTTTCTCCTCCCAAATAAATATACATATGCAATGTATTTATAAATATAATCATATATGGAGTACATCCCCTTTCTTCTCCCAATAAACATACATATGCAATATATTTATAATATGGTCATATATGGAGTACATCCCCTTCTCCTCCCAATAAACATACATATGCAATGTATTTATAACATGGTCATATTCAATGACAACCAACAATAGATTAGCATTATATCACCTAATCCTCATACAATTTCTACAACAATCATAGCTATCCTCTACCGATAGCCAAAATAGTTATCTCTAACATATTAATTAAAAGATAACAACATGGACATACAATCCAACATATAACTATAATTTGGAATCTCCCATGATTCCCAACATTTAGAAACAAATCATATTCCACATTTTATCAAATATGAGCAACTACACTAGTTTTCATATCATAATCACGTCCGGTAACCTCTCAAGGTCCATTTCTAACCATGTCGGTTTTATTCCAACAAATACATTAAGTAAAATAATACCGTTAACGCCCAAGAGAATATTATTTTCTTTCCAAACTCATTCTCCAAGCATTATTCAACTATGACATTCTATTTTGATCGAAAGCCCCAAAAGTTAGACGTAATTCCTTTGTTTTCTTTAAAAATGCTCTTTTGGCCACAAATCGGCAAAAATTTCAAAACCAATCGAATCGAAGTCCGTTTTTGTTCAAATTTTAAAAAATAACTCTTTCATAACCTTACAAACATATTCCAAGTTTACACTTTCGCAATTTGGGCATCAACTTTTTATTTTTTTTCAAAATTTCTCTTGTAAGCAAATAAAACACAAATTTTCCAAAAATTCTAATTAAATTATATACAACTCTAAACTCCATATAATCAAGCAAAAGTGCATAAAGAAGTCTAGGAAAAATCTCTACTAACAATTTATACAATATTCCTCAATATCAATTTATTTTTCTCAAAAATAAATTCCAAAACTCAAGGATGAGATAAATATTTCAACATTAATTTCTCAAAATAAATTATCTAACCATAACATGATGTAGATGTAATCCATACAACTATTAAATTCTATTTTCAGATTTGTTTTACAAAATTAACAACACAAAATGATTTTTCCAGAATCAATCTCAAAATACCAACATTCTTAACATTTCAACATAATTTTTTTCTTCCAAAAATTACCAAACAAAAATCTGAAAATATATCTATATGCAATACCTCTTATAATGATATATTTTCTCAAAATAGCCCTAACATAGCTTTAATGTAAAATATGAAGAAAGTCCCTACCTCAAATAATGAAGAAAAGCAGATCTGGAAGGCAAATCTTGCCCGATCATGAATCCGAGACTACCATTGCGAAGATCATGACAAGCTCTCCAACTTTCATTTATAACACTGTTACAAAATCTACTCTAAAGACTCCCATTTCAAGCTTGAAGCTTGAGCAAAAATGGTGAACATGGAAAGAGACACACACACACATATTGAGAGAGAGAGAGAGAGAGAGAGAGACGTTGAGAGGGAGAGAAAGTTCAGCAAAGTGAAAAGCAAAAAGGAGGGGAAGGCAAAGGCATAGAGGAGACAACCCCATGTGGGTTTGGTGGCTTTCGGGAAAAAAAAAATGATTTCCCAAAAAAATATTATAATTTTTTGTAATAATATTTTCAAATTTTATAATATAAATTATAAAATGACATAATTTTTCTCACCACAAAATATGATATTTTTGTACACCATAAAATATAATATTTTGCTCACCACGAAATATACACTCATTTTATTCACTACAAAAATATATAATTTTTTTTTATCATATGGTACATACCATAAAATCAAAAATTAAATATTTATTATAATCCTATATAATAAATAATAACAACTCCTAAGGTGGTTACTACCAATCACATAATTAAAAAGATCCAAACAGTTAAACATGAGTCATTAAACAAATTCAATTTAAATTAAATCTAAGTCATGGATCTTGAATTTAAATTCCCACTCATAAGCCAAACATCACCCAATTACATATCAAATTAAACCCAACAAATCTATCCAAATCTTGATCTAAACATTAAAAATTAAAGAACAAAATTATGCTATAAATTAAACTAAACACCAATCAGTTCATGAATTTTCATAAAATAAATACTCATTATTTAATTCTGAAATTTTTATCCAACGTGCTAGACTCATATGGGAATAACATTTAAAATTTTCATAATGTTCTGAGATCAGTAACTATTTTTAAAAAATACAAAACAAAACTATTTTCGCACAGAATTTACACAGCACTCACATTTGAAAATTTGCTCAATTAAATTATGCACTAGTTATTTAAAAAAAAAAATTCTGGGTCACTACACCCGCCGAGGCCGAACCAGCCCAATCAACTCGGTCGAAGAGGCCCAGGTCTGAATCGGCAACAACCTCAGGCTCTATGAAATCTAATGCCCCCTGGGCTCCCCCCATTACAATTGAGGACAAGCCGGTTAGAGCTAGCGACAACGCCGACAATATTGAAGTCAGCGTTGCCCTCTCTACCACGCTGCTCCTCCCCCAAGATCTCAATCACAATGCGAAGATGAGCGAGTATAAGAATTTTGCTCTGATGTTGCAGCGCTCCGTCCAAGTAAGCCCTTAACACTTGGTACCTTTTTATTTCTGTCTTTTCATACTTAGAGAATTTTTACTAACATTTGCTCTTTTCTTTTCTTCTAGGTGATCCAGCATGGCCACTCCTTCGCGATGCAAGCCTTCGCCATCAGGAAGGAGTTGGCTAACAAGACCAGGGAGTCCAAGTCCCTTAGCAAGGCCGAGGAAGCCAAAAAAGCCCAAGATGAGGCCGAGGAGAGGGCTGGGGCTGTTGAGGCCATTGCCAAGGTCTCTGAGGCCGAGAAGAAAAAAGCAGAGGCAAAGATGGCCGAGGCCCAAAAAGAACTCCAGGATGCCTTGGTCACAAAAGAGGCCGAGATCAAGGCTGCCAATGAAAAGGCGTACGCCGAGAGGGCGGCCGACGTCAAGGAGGACTACAAAAAACAAGTGAAGTAGGCATGTAACAAGGGTTTCACCCTTGGTTGGATGGTTGCCCTAAAAAAGCTAAATGTCCCTGAGGACTCCCCCCTCAAGAATGCTGGTGACCTCTCCCTGCCATTACCCCATACTCCAAGCCAATCCGAAGATGATTATGAGTCCGATGAGAAAGCTTTGGTCAGGAAGAAGAAGGAAGCTGCTGGGGCTAAGTCCCCTACTCTGAATGAGCAAGTCGTGGACTTGTCTCGGGATGAGGAGGGTGAGGTCTCCAAAGATGCCACTCCTGAGAGGACAACATCAGACGCGCCTATCGCCGACAAGAACCTCAACCAGACTCTCAAAGAGATCGACGTCGAGCTCGTGGTTGAGAAGGCCTCCGAGAAGAGTCCCCAAATGTCCTCTGAGCCCTAAACCCTTCCTGCTAATGACGTCGAATAGTCTAGTTTCTTTACTTCTTGTACTTTTTCTTACTTTTGAAACAATGTAAGCTTTATTTTGGCCGATGTGCCGTTTTTATATTTGAACTTCCTTATCTGAATGCAAGTACGACTTTCTTTTTGCATTTCTTCTGAGTGTTTTGATATTTGTCTTCCTTTTACTGTCGTGTATGTTTCTATACTTAGAATCATTTACATGTCTTCAACGTACATCTTAACTGTGTAATCTTCTCGGTATGGAATACTTCGGCTATACCCACTAACAATTTATCTCAGTTTTGACCTAACACTTGAAAATATTTTATCATAATATTTTCACAAGTGTTTATTTACAACTTGTCACTTCACCCACCCTTTACTTATCAGGACCTCGGTTTAAATTTAACTTGTAAATTTTTCTTAAAATTTCAACAAGTGTTAAACCAATCTTCCTTTAACATAGTCTCGGGTTAACTCCAACTTGTAAATTTTTCTTAAAATTTGAACAAGTGTTAAACCAATCAAGTGTAAATTCCAACTTCCAAGCTTCATTCTCCAGCTCTCTGCCCTCTAATGTGAACCTAAGTTCCACTTGGGTTCCCATTATGTATGTGGCATTAATCTTGTCGCCGAGATCAGATTCAAACAGAGAATGGCTGAGGTCATCAACCGTGGTCTCCCTGTTAATCTAATTGATATAAGTTAATTCAACTTAGTTTAACTCTATTATATGCAAGTAGAAACTCTATCATATAATAAGTCTAAGTTATTCATCATGTTTCAATTAGAAACATCGCCAACTTAGTTCAACTCTATTATATGTAAATAGAAACTCTGCCATATAATAAGTCTAAGTTATTCATCATGTTTCAATTAGAAACATCACCAACTTCGTTCAACTCTATTATATGCAAGTAGAAACTCTGCCATATAATAAGTCTAAGTTATTCATCATGTTTCAATCAGAAACATCGCCAACATAGTTCAACTCTATTATATGCAAGTAAAAACTCTGCCAGATAATAAGTCTAAATTATTCATCATGTTTCAATCAGAAACATCGCCAAGTAACTGGTCAATCATACTACAGAAGTTAAAAAATCAAGTTAAAACTTTATTATTACTTTGGCTAATAATAAAAGAAAATTTAAAAAATAAGAAAATCTAATGATAGAAAAACTTTAGATTGCATGTATTCCAGGGTCTTGGCAAATCTTTGCCTTCACTGTCTTCAAGCCGATATGCCCCATTGCCCAAGACCGAGATGATTCTATAAGGTCCCTCTCAGTTTGGGCCAAGCTTGCCCTCTCTGGGATCCTTCTTATCACTGACGACCTTCCTCAGGACGAGGTCTCCAACTTGGAACTCTCGTGGGTTAGCCTTTTTGTTATAGGCCCTGGCAAGTTGCTGCTAGTATGCCCCTAGCTGAATTGCTGCTTTCTTCCTTCTTTCCTCTAGCAGATCCAGATCTCGGGCTAAGAATGCCTCATTGGTCCCATTTTCTACTCCCTGGGTTCTGATCCCAAGGATACCGACCTCCAGTGGAATGACTGCTTCTATGCCATAAGCCATGGCAGATGGGGACTCCTCAGTCGATCTTCTCGGCATAGTTCGATATACCCAAAGTACACTAGGTAATTCATCTACCCACTTTCCCTTTGCTGCTTGCAGTCTCTTCTTAATCCCATCCAAGATAACTTTGTTGGATGCTTCTGCTTGTCCATTGCTTTGAGGAAAACTTGGGGTGGAATAGTAATTCTTGACCTTGTACTTTGCACAGAAGCTCTTGATTAGCTTACTAGCAAATTGTGTACCATTGTTTGCAATTATTGCTCATGGGATCCCAAATTTGGTGATGATGTTCTTCCATATGAAGTTCTTGACATCAACGTCCTGAATCTTTGTAAGGGGTTCAACTTCAACCCATTTGGTAAAGTAATCTGTTGCCACTAGTGAGTACTTCCTTTGTCCAGTTGCTTGAGGCAGTTGTCCAACAAGATCCATGCCTCATCGAGCAAATGGCCAAGGGCTGGACACTAGGTTTAAGTCTGCTGCTGGTTGATGTATCAAGGGTGCAAACCTTTGACACTTCTCATATTTTCTGACATAGGCTTCAGCATCTTTCTGCATGTAGAGCCACCAGTACCCCTAAGTAATGGCTCTATGAGCAAGTGACCTACCCCAGTGTGGCTTTCACATACTTCTTCATGTATCTCATACAAAAAGTCTTCAACTTGTGAAGGATGCACATGCCTCAAAAGGGGACCAGTAAAAGACCTTCTGTAGAGATGTCCTTTTGCTATCAGACTGAATCTTGCCGACTTCAGTCTGATCTTGTGTGCTTCTTTATGGTCATCTGGCAATTTTTCCTCTTTAAGGAATGCTATTATTGCATCCATCCAGCTCGGTCCCATCTCCACACACATTGCCTCATGCTCTGTGTTCAGTGGTTCTATGCTTGGACCTGACAAGTAGTCCACCATTATCGTACTTGCTTCTCCAGGTTTCATTGTACTAGCCAGGTTGGCCCGAGCATCAGCATGACTGTTGTCATCTCGGCTAACCTGCTGTAGTCGGCAATTCTAGAATAAGGCTACTAGTCTGCCTACTTCCTTTACATAGGCCGACATCCTTTTATCTCGGGCTGCGTATGCGCTTGTTGCCTAGTTGACAATAAGCTGGGAGTCACAGAAGACTATTACCTTGTCAGCTTTCATTGCTACTGGCAGTTTTAACCCTGCGATTAGTGCTTTATACTCTGCTTCATTATTTGAGGCTCTAAACCCCAAACAAATGGATTGTTCCAGTACTTGCCTAGCTGGCGATACTAACATTACTCCTGCCTCCGCTCCTTGTCGGTTTAAACTTCTATTAATAAACAGCCAGAAGGAGTCGCCGATGTAAATACTGCATGGCCTGAGTTTCTCTTCCTTCCTTTGTTTTGTTAACCCCAGCTGGGTTTTTCCTTGTTCGCTTGGACCTCGTATACTTGGGCTCAACGGAGCCTGGTGTACGATGGCGCCTGGTGTGAACTCGGCCACGAAGTCGGCCAGAACTTGG